TTGGGATCCTCATACAACTTGCTCCATCCTCTCTCCCAAGATCTTCATGCAGGGCCTAGAAGAGAATGCTGGCTTCCCTAAGTCAGACCAAAAGCCTCCACACTCCTTTTCTACAGGAATCATGTCTTTCTGGTATATATCGGTGTAGCCTAGTAGTCATGCACATAGGCGTCAGAGCCAGAGCACCTCAGTTCCATATCCATGTTTGCTCATATCTTAACCTGGGTAACACTGAGGAAGTTGCTTATCTTCCTTGTACTTCAATTTCCTCATACACACACAAAAGCATATAATAATAGACTTTACCTTATGAAGTTGCTGTGTATTTTAAATAAACAACTCGATTTACAGGGCTTGTAAGTGTTTGGCCTACACAACATTATGTAACTGTTCTGAATTATTAATTTTTTGAATATGGGTAAAAAATATATATTATAAATATATATTTATATATTATATATTTGTTATATATATAAATATATGTTATTATATATATATTGCAGTTGATGGAGTAGGCTCATTTTCTTGTTTTATTTTGATATTCCTAGTGTTCTATGCACAAATAGTATGTGGTATCAGTATTAGCTTTTTCTGTACGAAATACTAGTCTCGGAAGTTAGTGGCTTAAAATAACCATTGACTTAGCTCACTATTTAGTGGCAATTTTTCCTTAAAAATTTTTTTCTAAAATAGCTATTAAAATTAAAGTTGTTCATACTCCATATCAAGTATATGAAGTTTTGAAATTATCTAGTTCTTAAAATGTTAGTAACAGCAGTTCAGTTGAATTTCAATAATGCATTTTGGAATATGGATTATCTACCCTCAGGGTAGATAGAAGTAAAAAACTAGTGTTGAAATGCAATATGCCAGCCCATAGCACTGAATGAAATGAACTTTCACTTACTAGTATTTATATAGTATTCATTCTTAATATAAACCACTCATTATATACAAAATTGCTTTTCATGTATGTTTTTTTCGCTACACAACCAGTTGAAAATTATTTTTCCTCACTATATACAAGAAAGAGAAAATGTTAGCATACAGCAAGATATATCTGGTTGGGTGGGAAGACCATCGTAACAAGAGCCTAAAGTGTATCTTCTGTTCTGACACCTTCCCAGTCCTGGCCCGTTTCCTAATATTGGCCTATGGAATCTCTGGGCTAAAGAAAAACTTAACATCTAATCTACTTGTTAAACCTAGCAGGCACAGGAATCCTCTGGGAAAAATCACAAGACCCACGTAAATATTGATTTAGCTACCCAGGAGTGAGGATAGGGAATGTGCACATTTAAGAGTTCCCAGGAGGTCTTGACATGCCCAGTCCCACCCTAGTTCTTAGAGTGGAAACTGGTTCCTGTGGTCTAGTGCAGCCTCTTATCAGATGCAGGGCTCCCATGTCAGCTTCTCTTAAGTTGTCACCCAGGTGGAATGCTTACTATCTCTTGAGGCTTATTCTGTTTTTCCTTGTTGTTGTTGTTGTTGTTGTTGTTTTTAGCTACTCTATACTATATTCAGATTTCTTTCATTTTTACGTAATATTCTTTTTCTGTTCCTGGATCCTATCCTGGATCAGGTGGTAGGCATTCTTCATAAGTGAATATTAATATATCAAAATTATTTATTTTGGCAAATCAGTATATTTTCCATATATAATTACAGAAAGTCCACATTGTTTTTCCAATTTACTTGTAAAACATTATTTTCCACTTGGCACTAAGGTTTACTCTCAAGGTGTTCAATCTATATCGGTTTTTATTTGAAGCTGTGTGACCTATCTAAAACAAACACTCGTAAATATGTACAAAATGCTCCTAAGAATCTCAATTTGGTTTATTGTTTTAAATCGCAATGCTATATTTATGTGCAAGGATATATACAAGGTATATTATGACTGTAAGTTAATGATCACATTGATTGACAAGATTTAATTTACCTGTATGTTTTTACTGAATGATCTAGTCTCCAACCCAAGGCAAGTATGAATATGTGGCATGATGACACAACATATTTCTTAGAAATGTGTTTACTGACTACTGAGTATGCCACCTTTGGTTATCCTGTTAAAAGCAATGAAGAAATAAAACATGAGCAAAAATAAGAAAAGGAGTAAGTGTTGTCTTTTGGGGATTAAAGCTGAATAGACCACACACTCACAAATGCACACATTAGGGGTCAGTACTAACACTACCATTATCTTAGTGAAAAATGAAGGCTGGAAGAATTTAATGGTCAGGACTGTGATCACCAAAGTCTAACTCAACTTCAAACCCCACTCACCAGCGGCTTATCTTTGGGCACATGATTCAATTGCTTTAAACTTCAGTTACTTCGACTAGAAAATGAGAAGACAATTCAATCTCATGTAATAAAGAGATAAGGCATATGAAGCAATCAGTATAGTCCTGACATGTAATGCTGAGCCCCTACATCATGTTGACTGCTATTATAACAATATACGCCCAGCTGAAAACTCAATAATACAAATGAGTTGGGGAACATCTAAAACTAGCATATGGAGAATGACTTTTGCTAACCCTAGCAAAAACCAAGGTTGTATCACCCTTTATTTGGGAGTGTTGACCATACTTTTCTTCTTTTCTTCCTATAGCCCTACTCTCAACTGCTATTCACATTCTCTCTCCCCCACTCAGAAATTTCACTCCGAATAACTTAATGACCATAGTACTCATACTTTTTAATTAAAGTGATATATCCTCACAAATACATTTCTCAAACTCGAAACAAACATCGTGCTTGAAATATTACTGAATGTGTCACCAAAGAATTCACATGGCAATGACAAAGAAACACGCAGACTACACTCTGAGGATAGAGCTCTAAAGAGTAAAAACAATGGAATTTGGAAAAAATAGGAGTAAAGAGTTGCTTTGAGCAATAAAACAGACTGGTAAGTCACTTTTCTTTTTGATATAAGCTTATCACTCACAGCCAAAATCTCTCAGCAAAACTACAGCCACTCTTTACCCTCCTGAGAGAAGCTCCTTCCTCATCTTTCCTAGAAAGGTTTATCCTCTTTACAATTCTAGTTAAGATGGCACTAAATACAAGGTTATTCAAAATCAACCTTTTTTACTAGTTTTCAGTGTCTGCCCTTATAGAATTTCATATTTGTGTCAAAATTGTTTATTGAGTTTCTTATAAACATGTTCCTCTCTAAGCAGAGTGCTGTGGAGTTTATAAAGATGAGTAAGATGATATACTTTTGCCTTCTAGTTAGCAGAGTTAAATTAATGCTATTGAGACCATATGTCCCTCAAAGCTAAAGATACTTACTTTCTTAACCATCAAAGAGAAAGTATGCCAAACCCTGAAATAGGAGATGCAAGTGTAAGAAAAACACTCACCTTTACTAAATGCCACTTTAAAAGCTATAAATAATTCCAGGAGTTCACAAGGCAGAAGGGTCACTTTCAACAAGGGAAATTCAGAGAAAAATTTTGGAGGAAGTGTCAATAGAAACAGAATTAGAAGAATGAGCACGCAGAGGGTTAAAAATGTCTGAACAACAACAAAAATGACACCGATAGGTAAGAAAAGAAAATGTAAGGTAGAGGACAGAGCCTGACAATTTATTTTTAGATATAAGTTCTCCTAAGATGATGTACAAAGTTCTTTCCATTTTTACTATTTTCCTCATCAGGAGGTATGTTTTATACAAATCACATTCCATATGCTTCTAGGATGTCTCTTAACTACACGCTTGCCCTCCCTCTGGTAACCCCACACTAAAGAGGCAAGCTCAGGACCAAGAATTTGATGACAGGTACATGTTACCATTAATGGCACTCTCTGAAATTACACCACAATTTTTCCTTCATCTTTTCTGTCACTTCATTTCTGATATTTATTTAGCACCAAACAATTCTTTTTCTTCCAAGACCAAGTCATATGACCACATAACATATTAAGTTGCAAAAGATTATTACTGCATTGCTCATATCATTTGTATATGTTCTTTTTCTTTAAAGTTCCATCAAAAAAGCTAGAGAGATTAGTTCTACTCTTTTTTTTTTTTTTTTGAGACGGAGTTTCGCTCTTGTTACCCAGGCTGGAGTGCAATGGCACGATCTCGGCTCACCGCAACCTCCGCCTCCTGGGTTCAGGCAATTCTCCTGCCTCAGCCTCCTCAGTAGCTGGGATTACAGGCATGCACCACCATGCCCAGCTAATTTTTTGTATTTTTAGTAGAGATGGGGTTTCACCATGTTGACCAGGATGGTCTCCATCTCTTGACCTCGTGATCCACCCGCCTCTGCCTCCCAAAGTGCTGGGATTACAGGCTTGAGCCACCGCGCCCGGCTAGTTCTACTCTTAAAAAACAATTTTTTTCTCAATTCACGAAGAATATATTACATTAACAGGTCTAGGTGAGCTATTTCAAAAAGCTTTTTGTTCCTCCTCAATTCCTTTATACTATCAAAAATCTTTTGAAAACTCAATTTACATCAAAAAAATTTATTGCAGAAAGACAATTTACATTGTCTTACATGAAAATGTAAAAATACCTTATGTTCAATACTAATACTGGTGGTCATATGACCTTTTGGCCAGGTATCTAAATAGCCACATTTTCATAATCTACTTTACATACTTACAAACGAGAAGAACTATGAACTGTAGTTTACAAAAAATCAATTATTTATGAGAAAATAAATATATTTTTAAAATATAAGCAGTTCTTGAACTGCAGAAGAATGCGCCATAACATGTAAAACTTGAAGTAAATTTTTAAGCACAGCTTTTAACATGTAAATTAGGCAGAAACAAAAAGCAAACAAAAGTGGGTGGGAGAAAGGAGAGGGAAGAAGAAACAAATAAAAAACGTGTAAACTGTGTCAAGCTAAATTCAGATTACTGCTGTCTTGATATGAAAATATAAGGGGGAAAAATAACACTTTAAACTAAAAGACTAAATGTTTTACTATTTCAACATATTATTTCCTCCAGAATTCTCATAACATGTATATAAATAAGAATATTTCTCATTTCGTAGTTTATTAACAATGTATACATTTGAAAATAAATATATACAGTATTTCAAAACAAACCCTTCAAGACCATATTTGAGCAATGACATCCAAGGAAGTGGAATTCAGGTACCACGTAATATTTGGAAAATATGGTAACCTGAAGATTAAATTTTCTCTTCCCTGCTGGTTACTCTGAAGTCTCCAATATACACAGGTTGCTCCTAACATGGTTTTCTTATTGAGCCAAGCATCTTCATGGGTCAAATCCAGTTTCATTTTCTCCAGTACTACAAAAATTAAAAAGAAACAAACAAACAGAAAATAATTTACTTAATTATTCACAAAGATAAAAAATAGTCTATAGTTTTTTAAAAGACTATGATTTAAATAGAAAGTGCATAAATGTTTGCTAAATGCCACCAAGAGGACTGCAATTAACTATACTGTATAGGATTCCTGAGGCTTCACTTAAAAACTAGCTTACATGAGAAAATAATTCAGGGAGAGAGTGTTTGTTGACTGTAAGTTCAAGATGATGCAATTAACATGAGACAACCAAAAAACATCTCATCCAGCACTAAAAGGGCAAAAATTCCACTGAATTCTAAAGTGAGTTAAATGAGTAATATTGTGAGTAGTGTGCTTGGTTCTTAGTGAGAGAGGCTGTGAAAACCTGTAGCTTATTCCACAGAGGGCAACTACTTCATTCTAGAAATGGTCTGGAAATCAAATCAAAGGAAGTAGTCCTGAAAAGACAAGAGAGGCCTAGTGAAGAGCTGTTCTGGGACCAACACGATTAATGGTGTCCAATACTGAGATATCTCCAGTAGGAATAAAATCAACAAAGATTTCTTTGTTTGGCTGAATATACACTGAGTCATCCATAACTCGTGACCTTTTTGTTGGATACAAAAATGCTGGCATTCTCTTGGAAGAATTATGAATGCTGTTTACATGTAATAAAATTTTGTTTCTATGACCTTCACTTCATTATCACTCAGAGGAAAAAGTGAAGGCAAAAAATCTCACTGACAAGGCTGTCTGTGTGTGTGTGCACATGCATGTGAGTACATGTACAAATGTGAAAATGCCAAGATGCTAATGGCTTTTAATCTGATTAAAGTGGCAATCTAGAAAAATATGGCAAGATTTATTTTTCATGTGAATAAAAATAATGTAATTTAGAATTTGAGAAGCAATTTAAATATTTTTACTAAAGGCAGTATCAGAGAAAATAAACTTCCTAAAGAAATGGTACTTGGCACGCATATAAAACCACGTATGTTTATTTGGTGCCTACTACGTGCCAGGAAGTGTTTCAGATTATGTGGGAGATCTCAAATTAAGATAAAATGCCCAAGGACCAAATTAATACAGACAGAATCTCACAGACACACACACACACACATACACACACACTCACACACTCTCTCTCTCTCTCTGTCTGTCTGTCTCAAAAGTTGGGCAAATAGGGGGAACTCATTCAACACAAAGAGAAGAGCTGTATTGCCTGGAGGTAGTGGGGATGATTCTTTTGAAGGTTTCTGAAGATGATAAAGGTGGAAAGTGTAGGTAAACGTCAAACTGCAAAGGGTCCACACGGACATACTAGGGAGTTTAAATAACCTGGAAGTCATTTGGAAGCAATTAAAAACCTGCATATGTACACGTGTATGTGTCTATGTATGAGGAAAATGTTGCTATTGATCCAATGGTTTCCAGTATACCAGCATACCTTGTCTTATTGTGCTTAGCTTTACTGTATTTCACAGATACTGTGTTTTTTTTACAGATTGAAAGTCTGTGGCAACTCTGCTTGAGCAAGTTTATCAGAGCCATTTTTCCAACAGCTCGTGCTCACTTTGTGTCTCTGTGTCATAGTTTGGTAATTCTCATAATATTGCAAAAATTTTTCATTATTATTCCATCTGCTATGGTGCTCTGTGATCAGCGATCTCTGATATTACTCTTGCAAATGTTTTGGGGAACCACGAACTATGTCCACATAACATGGCGAACTTAATTGACAAATGTTACGTGTGTTCTGACTACTCCACCAAATGGCTATTCCCCATCTACCTTCTTCTCTTTAAGCCTCCATAATCCCTAAGATGTAACAATATTGAAATTAGGTCAATTAAGAACCCTATCATAGCCTCTAGGCGATCAAGTGAAAGAGAAGAGTCGCATATCTTTGGCTTTAAATTAAAAGCTAGAAATGATTAAGCCCACTGAGAAAGGCATATCAAAAGATTGGACAGGCCAAAACTTAAGACTCTTACATCAAACAGCCAAGTTGTAAATGCAAAGAAATGTTCTTAAAAGAAATTAAAATGCTACTCCAGTGAATACATGAATGATATGAGAGCAAAACACCTTTTGCTGATACGGAGAGTTTTTGTGGTCTGCTTAGAAGCCCAAACCAGCTATAACATCACCAAAGCCTGATGCAGGGCAAGGCCTTAACTATCTTCATTTCTATAAAGAATTAAACTGTCTTCAATTTTGTAATTCTACAAAGGCTGAGAAAGATAAGGAAGCTGCAGAAGACAAGTCTGAAGCTAGGAGAGGTTGGTTCATGAGGTTTAAAGAAAAAAGCTGTCTCCATAACATAAAAGTGCAAGGTAAAGCAGACAATGCTGATAAAGAAACTGCACGCAAGTTATCTACCAAGCTAAGATCATTGATGAAGGTGACTAAGTAACAGGTTTTCAAGGCAGATGAAACAGTTTGCTAATGAATAAGATGCTACACAGGACGTTCATGCTAAAGAGAAGTCAATGTCTGGCTTCAAAGCTTCAACGGACAGGCTGACTTTCTTGGTAGGGGCTAATGCAGCTGGTGACTTAGTTGATGCCAATGTTCATTCACCAATCCAAAAATCCTAGGGCACTTAAGAAGTACAATAAACCTACTCTGCCTGTGCTCTATAAATAAAACAGTAGCTTGGATGACATCACATTTGTATATATTATTGTTTACTAAAAATTTTTTAAGTCCACTGTTGAAGCCTACTGCTCAGAAAAAGATTCCTTTCAAAATATTACTGCTCACTGACAATGTACCCAGTCATCTAAGAGCTCTGACAGAATATACAAAAAGATTAATGTTGCTTTTATGTCTGCTAATTCAACATCCATTCTATAGCCCATGAATCACAGAGTCACTTTGACTTTCAAGTTCTATTATTTACGAAATACCTTTCGTAAAGGTATAGCTACCACAGATAATGATTCCTCTGATGGATCTGGACAAAATAAATTTAAAACCTACTGAAAAGGATTCACCATTAATGGCACTTAATTCTAGATGCCATTAAGAACATTTGAGATTCATAGGAGAAGGTGAAAATATCAATGTTAACAGGAGTTTGGAAGAAGTTGATTCCAGTCTCCATGGATGACTTTGAGGGGTTCAAGAACAGTAGTGGAAGTAATTGCAGATGGGGTGGAAACTGCAAGAGAACAAGAATTAGAAGTGGAGCCTGAATATGTGACTGAATTGCTGCAGGCTCGTGATAAAACTTGAGCAGATGAGGAAGTGCTCCTTCTGGATAAGCAAGGTGGTTTCTTGAGATGGAATCAATTTGTGGTGAAGATGCTTTGAATATTGTTGAAATGACAACAAAGGATTTAGAGTATTCCATAAATTTAGTTGATAAAGCAACAGCAAGTTTTGAAAGGGTTTACTCCAATTCTGAAAAAAGTTCTACACTGGACAAAATGCTATCAAACAGCATCACATGCTACACAGAGATCTTTCAAGAAAGGAAGAATCAACTGATGTGGCAAACTTCATGGATTCACAGCTACTCAATCTTTAGCAACCACTACCCTGATCACTCAGCAGCTATCAACATCAAGGCAAGACTCTCATTAGCAAAAAGATTATAACTCACTGGAAGCTCAGATGATTGTTAGCATTTTTTAGCAATATTTTAAAATAGTTTTTAAAGACATAAAGCTACTGCATAGTATCATGTAAACATAATTTTATATGCATTGGGAAAACAAAAAAATCATGTGACGTGCTTTACTGCAGTGGTTTAGACTCTTAAAAAAAAAATCTTTAAGATATGCCTTTTTCCCCAGATACTTCAACTTCAAAATATCTGTATCTTCAGGGGAAAAAAAACAAAAACAAAACAAAACAAAAAAAAAAAAAAAAAAAAAAACCACATAGCTGAGACAGTCCAAAAATATTCAACTCTCTGTACATTTGAAGAATTATTATAAAAGTGTTTGACAGAACACAGAGCGAAAGAAAACAACAGTATAAAACTAACCTTACTAAAAGCAGTTAATGAAGCAAACATGGCAAACCCTATCAAGGATTACATTCAAGAGTTTAAAAATCTTCTTGGGAGAAGATAAGAAAATGAAATTTTTATGGATAAGAAACTGTAAGGCTTGGGCTAAAAATTATGGGGCATTCTGCTGACTCCTGCTATTACAATAATTAACTAATCTTAGAACTTGCAAACATTTGTCATATAGTAAGTGCCTGTATTCTTTGTTTTTAAACATCATGGGTTTTTTTTCTGTTTTTTTTTTTTTTTGAGACAGAGTTTCGCTCGTTACCCAGGCTGGAGTGCAATGGCACGATCTCGGCTCACCGCAACCTCCGTCTCCTGGGTTCAGGCAATTCTCCTGCCTCAGCCTCCCGAGTAGCTGGGATTACAGGCACGTGCCACCATGCCCAGCTAATTTTTTGTATTTTTAGTAGAGACGGGATTTCACTATGTTGACCAGGATGGTCTCGATCTCTCGACCTCGTGATCCACCTGCCTCGGCCTCCCAAAGTGCTGGGATTACAGGCTTGAGCCACCGTGCCCGGCCAACATCATGGGTTTTAATGGGTAGTTGTGCAGCAATGCTGACTGCAGCAGAACAAGAGAGCACAGGTGTGTCAATGAAATGCAAGACTAGTTTTGGCCAATGTGCAAAATAAACGTTATCCCACACTTATCCTATTTATCTTGGATTAACAGTTCCCAGTGACTCCTTTATACAGCACACTTACTTGGCTGTTTGCACAGCTGATTTTGTTTTTTCTTTGATGGGTAGGTGAGAGATGAAGAAAAGTTAAAATTTAAACTTACAAGCAAAAATTTAAAAACTCACTACTCACAACAAAAGTTACTTGTGTCTATAAATTAAGGCTTTGATATATATATGTATGTGTATGTGTATACATGCAAGGTAAAGCAGCCAGTGCTGATGGAGAAACTGCACACAGGTTATCTAGCTATGATCACCGATGAAGGTGACTACATTTGACAACAGAT